ACACATTTTATTTATGTTTGAATTTTGAGCATGCAGAATCTCCCCCATTGAAATTTCAAAAAGTTGACAAGAATGTTAAAAAGCATAAAGGATATATAGATCCGTATTAAAATCAAACAAATTCTTATAGGTGGTGATTTGAAAAATATAACTTAAAACAATGGTGGGCTCTTTTTAAGTTATTTTGATTTTAGTGATAGAAAAAAGAGTTTTTAAAAGACATTTATCATATACATAGTGAAATCTTTCTTGATTGAACCCTGAATATTTTGATAGGGTATTTTTCAGTTTCTTGTTGAAAAGAAATATTATTATTATTCTTAACTAACACCTGTGCATATTCTAACTTAATGTCTGACAAATGTGTTCTTTCCTACAGGGTGTTTGATTAGACAGGTTAAGCTGAACGATTTGTTGTTTTCCATATGGTGTCAGATTAGAGAGGTTAATTGAATAAATAGGTTGTCCCACAAGGAGATCAGTTTAAGCAGGTTTAATTGTAGTAAGGGGCTAAAATACTTTCATAGAAAATGCCTTTATCATATTTGTACACCAAACCTTTCTTTTCAGATCACGTCAGCCTTAAACCTGTTAGTACAGCAGGCCAGTAACCTGGAAACAAACATCGTGTCGGTGGAGCGTGTCCAGGAGTACGCCGAAATACAAACAGAGGCACCCTGGGTAATGCCCTTCAGACGACCTCCACACGACTGGCCCCAAGTTGGTCATGTTAGTTTCAATGACTACAAAACACGGTACCGAGAGGGCCTTGACCTTGTATTGAGGGGCGTAACCTGTGAAATTCAGGGCGGAGAAAAGGTCAGTTTTAAATCGGAGTCTATAGATATCTATTTTCAAAGTTGTTTATCGAGGTCAGATGTATTTTAAGTACATGGTAAAAGTCCCCAACATACCGTATTTCGCATTCAGTTACAAAATAATTACACAATTGATGTTAAGATATTTAATGTCAGCACACAATATCCGTTTTATGATTACATATTTGGGATATTATTTTCTCATGAAAAATCCAGTAAGCTCAACTTTCCAACTTGCCAACGTTCACAAAATAAAACGTAAAAAAAATATTGATGTTTGTCAGAAAAGAAATATAACTTCAGTAAATCTTTTCTAATGATACTATATTGGTCAGTCTTTTTAATGACATTTATTAATTTTTCCTTCATTTATTTGATAAAAAATTGGTCTTATTGTTGATGTATAGAAATTCCGGAGAAAGTTGGCTAAAACATTTTAATCAAGTTTTCGTTTATTACAATTCTGTTCTCCCATTTTCTTTGGCTATAGGTTGGTATTGTAGGTAGGACAGGTGCCGGTAAGTCATCCCTAACCGTCGCTTTGTTTCGCCTGATCGAACCCGCTGGTGGATCCATTGTCATAGATGGTCAGAGTATCGCCAACATGGGACTCCATGATCTCCGGTCAAAACTGACCATCCTCCCACAGGTTAGCCAGGAACCATGTTTTGTTCATATAATTTTTTATACAGTACTGTAAAACACATTAACAATTTTTACTTTTAACTAACTTGTATAGACCATGCTTTGAACTTCGCCATGCATATTGAATGTGTGTTTTAGGTGTTACACATGGCCATCGAAATTAAGCATAAGAAGTGATAATTAATGCTGTTATGACAAACTGCTGAATTCTGAATAATCAAATAATTCAGTTTCTGCACGATCGTTTGAAAATTAAACAGTATAATGATTTTCATGAAAACTGCATTTGCCACAGGGTATGCTTCTAGACTCTATTTATTACATTTAACAAGATTTTTGAGATTTCATTTCCCATTGCCACACATAATTAGCTTGAGGGAAAAAACAAAAAATTCAGATATTCATATTCAAAATTTAGTATAAAAAGATTCATGCTCGATGACGCTCCTGAATATACCACTGACAATAAATGGAAGAAGTAAAATGGTTTTCACCATTGCTTTGTTATTTAGGACCCTGTTTTGTTCTCTGGTTCCCTGAGGATGAACCTTGACCCCTTCAATATATACCAAGACAACCAGCTTTGGAAGGCCATCGAGCATGCTCACTTGAAGAAGTTTGTGTCTGAACTTCCTGATGGTTTGATGCATGAATGTGGGGAAGGGGGAGAAAACCTGAGGTAGGTTTTTCCTTTTTAACTGGATTTTTTATTTTATTTTTTATTTAAATGTCTGTCTTGTTAGATACAAATCTGGCTTTATGACAATATTTGAAATTTATACTAACAATATGAAAAAAATATTTACCTCAAAACTGAGCCAACTGAAAGTACCAAAATGACTTCACAATAGCCTAAGGTATCATGAAATGTTAACATTATCATTATTTTCCATTTAAGAATTGATCGTCATAAGATAATATAAAATTCTTTTTCAACTTGAATTATGATTGTTCGTGTCATTATTTATTTATTTTCTAATGACTAGGAAAATCTGTTCTAAGTCAAGCCCATTGACATTATTGAACGAATTGAAATTGTAAATTGTGATTAA